TCCAATGAGAACTCAATATGCAAAATTCATTGGGACTGAAATCACTGAAATACCGAATATAAAGGGCGCAAAAAGAAGAGGGAAAAGGATTTCTATTCTTTCAGAAATTCTTCCTAAACTTTCAAGATACCTTAAATCGCTTTTGCAGTTCATGATTTTGGTCATTACCCCCGGATAAGGATACAATCCGATTTCAAGTATATCATACATTTAACCATATTTTCATACTAATTTCGGCAAATGTTGGTATTTTGGGAAGAAACTATCCTTGCAAAAAATTATCACGTTTTGTATAACCATCATATGATTTAAGGAACCGGACATTTGTTTAATCGTCTTTGAATAATACTATGATAAAAGATATGGACATTATGGGGTCTCCAACGCGCAATTTCAATGACAAATACTACTTATTATTTTAAAAACAAGTAAAAAATTAAGTTCGACCGGGCAGAACTATTATTATCATCCACCTTAGGATAAATTAAACACTTTTATATAAAAGTATCTGAGTTCAAGCGTGTTTCACTTTAAACTTCATATACCAGAAAGATGGTTTGGTTAACTTAGTCAAAGTTAACTTATCAAAAAACCATAAAGTGAATGAGGCCGTTATATAGGGCCATACCAAAAGGGCACCCTCTGTTGACAGTTTTATACTTCAAGGATTGTCATCTATCAAACCTAAGATACAAAATTTGAAACAATTATGTGCGTAAATGTGACTAGGATTATCAACATACCCAATATCGGTAGGTATTGTTATATGTTTTAGACAAATCTGAGGAGAAATGTGGCAAAAATCATCAAAATACCGAATTTCGAGAGATACCATTATATGGGGACTATACCAAAACGTGGACCGATAGATCATTTTCAATACCAACCATCCTATACACAATACAAATTGTTCTGCTAAATTTTGATGCTCTACGTCAAATAATGTAGGCTACATCGTAATTTAAACAAACAGACATCCAGACGAACAAATCGACTTAGAATTTTGTGCTGATTATGAATATACATATGTATATTCTATGGGGTCTATGACGAACATTTATGGATGTTTCAAATGGAATGAAAAAGTTTATATACCCTCCTTTCCAAGGTGGAGAATAAAATAAGCATTAAAGACTAAAATTACGGGCCGGCAACGCGGACCGGGCCGGTGAAACTAATTGCATGACAAAGTGCAGTTATTGAATGGATTAATTGCGGCAAGTGTTTAAACTGGTAATGGAATCAGTTGAAAACGGCCGGACCAATTTGCATAATTGTTTTGTACAAAATTACCAACGAACAACAATTGATTCATATATATATATATATATACATATATACATATATATATATATATATATATATATATATATATATATATATATATATATATATATATATATATATATATATATATATATATATACATATATATATATATATATATATATATATATATATATATATATATATATATATATATATATATATATATATATACATATATATATATATATATATATATATATATATATATATATATATATATGAATCAATTGTTGTTCGTTGGTAATTAAATCATTTTAGAATGGTTGGATCGATTTAGATATTTTTTTAAATGTTCGTCCTACCCCGATTTAGGTTTTTATGCAAAGATAAAGTGGCCACGCCCATTTTTTCGATTGAACTAAAATCCTAATATTTACCAAAATATTGAATATATCTGTTCAATAGTAAGTATATGACGTACTATTAACTCCCCCTACAACCCTAGGTATCTGTTTGGGGTCAGAGGAACTGGCCACATCGACTTCTTTAAATCTATATGTATAAAATTTAAAAAAGTATAGTAACACATCAGGTGAGAACTGCTGGGCCGATTTGACTCACATTTTCGTTTGGTTATTTGTAATTACATTGGAAACGTTTTCATTAAAGAAAATTTTGAGGAAAACCTCTAAACAACCGCGTAACTGAAAAAAATCGAGGAACTGTTCTATTTTGATATGGAATTTTGTGTAGAATTGTTTCAGAATGCCTTTTTGAATTGAAGATTCTTATAAAACAACAGAAAGAATCGAGAAATTTTGCATATATCTATATCTATAAAAGAGGAAAATGTTTGTATGTTTGTTTGTAATTTATGGACTCGAAAACCGCTGAACAGATAAATTTGGAATGTGTAGTGGAAATTAAAACGAATATACATTTGTCAAATTATATTGAAATCGGTTCAGATTTGGATATAGCTCCCATATATATCTTCAACCGATTTCGTTTATTTGATGCACCAAGCACGATATGTATGTTCGATTCCAATGAAATTGGGAATGTGTGACGGGATTTTGATGCACCCAAAGCGAGAGAGACGAAATCTGGCATCAGAAAAAAATGGCCAAATTATATTGAAATCGGTTGAGGTTTGGGTATAGCTAACATATATATTTCGGCCGACTTCATACATGTTATGCACCAAACACGATATATATGCAGATTCCAATGAAATTCAGAATGTGTTGCGGAATTTGGTTATATAATAATAAATGTGATAAATTAATTGGAAATTAGTTAAGATTTGGATATAGCTCTCATATATATATATTCTCGGCCGATTTCACATATTTGACGCACCAATTTCAATGAAATATGAAAGTTGTGGCAGAATTTGGTGTAAAAGTAATTTTTCAAAATTATATTTAAATTGGATCAGATTGGGTAGTAGTAGATAAAGTAGTGCAATATTTTTTTTTGTAATTTTTAAAATTGTATTTTTTATGCAACATATATACGTAAATAAAATTTTGAATGCATATAAAATCAAAAGGGATAGCGAAACGCATCGGGTTCATCTAGTTTTCTATACAATTTTGATTTAAAAATACTTCTTAAAGAATGAAAACCTTTAAAATCTCAACGTACTTTTAAATTGGGGCTATGTATAATGGGAAACCAGCTGTAAACAGTTATTGCCAGTATTGATTTCACAATACTGACAATTTTAAATCTCAAATTACAGTTCATTTGGTAGAAATTATAACAACAAATGTTTAGTGGCATTATTATAACTAAACGAAACGTATATATTATAACTTCCTAGTAATCTATACCTATAAACGAGGAAAATGTATGTTTGTTTGTTTGCAAGTCATGAATTTGGCTACATACATTTTTGAAATTCCACTTGAAACTGGAGATATAGCGTCAGAATCGGAGGTACCTCCCAAAAGTCTAGATTTTATATGCACATATCTATTGATCGATTACAGATACAGTCTCCAAATTTGGCTAACAGTAAAAAACTACACAACAATTTAATTTAGGATACGATTGTTAGGAAGAAGTATGTTGCTACCTTGAATTCTCTAATTGCAACAGAAATAAAACTCAACTTCAAAAGATTACAGTTTCCTGCACGCTTGGCAAAAAAAAGGCCAAACCCTTCGTGTATGCGGACTAAATTTGGCATGTTCCTTCTTTTCTCATGGTAGACCGAGTTCTTTGTTAGTTTAATCATTAAAGTATTGCAACAATTGCGTTTTTTTAATTTTTTAATTTGTTTTATTATTTTTTTAACCAACAATATTCATATATAAACATTTGAATGCATATAAGAGCGAAAGGAGTAGCGAAGCGCGCCGGGTTCAGCTAGTGTGATATAAATATGTAGTTGTCGAAATTTACGATTTTCCATAAAATTGAATATAAATGTTCGATTTCCTTCAAATTTTGCACATACCAATATTTTAGATGAAGTATGAAAATGAAATACTTTGGTCCGCTATACCTGTTACCTCTGATACTGATACTATTTTACTTGTTTTTTTTTTATCAATAAATGGCATTTCCTGTAGTGTGTAGACTAAGCATTTTATGGAATAAATTTGTGTAAAATTTGAATCACAACTCGTGTGTTATAAACTTGGCAATATTTTCGTATTGATAGTAGTTTCTATTCATAAAATGTTCATTTTATTCAAGAATGTAATTAAACAGTTTAAGTAGAGACCCTGTGAACCTAAAATATTAATTAATGTAAAGCGTAGAATGTAGATAACGCAAGGAAAAATATGAGCAATATTTAATACCCTTCACCATGTTGTAAAGCAAACCTTCGAAAATGTATCTGAATTTAATATTCGAGCGATTTCCAATTTTGAACATGAAATGGGTGGGAGAATGTAGTTAATGTTTCCAATACCACAATGAGTGCAGTTCCGTTATATGGGAGCCGTACTGACAAACGGGCAATGCTCTGCCACAGGATGTAGAACCCATTGTTAACAACAAATATCGCATTTAAAACAAATCCTAAAATCGTCACAATACCAAATATTATCGTTATATACGGCTATTCGAAAACGTGGGCATATATATTCTTCCAAGTAGAACACACTATGAACTTTAAATGCCAAATTTAAAAATTTCCCTAACAAATGTGACTAATTTTAATTTTTGGATGAAGTATTTCTCTCAGCATTCCCCTGATTTGCTAGATTTGTAAAGGAACAAAAATATTAACAAGCGGACGGAATTAGGTCAAAGGAACGATCGCGGCTGTATCTACCTTTAGTTCCTTAAATTAAACTAGACCGCTTAGTACATCTCATTATTTCGTCTTCTGTCGTGCTTTCGTTTCTTCTATTAACTTCATTCCCTCTTTGAATATTGCTAGACTTTGTTTTGAGCAGAGTCATCCAACAACAAGGAGGCTCAAGTCAAAGAAACGGTACAACTAAAAAAGGGCTAAATATAACGACTAAACTAAAAAACAGTATAAAAATGTTCTTCTTTCATTTGAAACAGAAAATTGTATTTCAATGGGCATTTAGGTAATAGGGCCATATATATTTTAAACACCTTTATGCAATTGCGAAATCTTTAAATTACCATCAAAATAAGACCAAACTCTATCTAAAATATGTAAAAATCTTATTAATAGAATAAAATGACTATAAGTAAATACATTTATATTTTTTATTATTTTTATCCCCTTGTTTCAGCATCAATTGATTACTGGCGTTCTACGTTGGAGGGCATCGACATCACCAGATCACGTTCTATTCACCCTTCTCAATTCCAAAGGTAAGTCTCAACAAGCAGAATACAATATACTATAAAAAAATGAAATCCACTACAAAATAGCGGGTAACGTAGGTTTTATCAATCTCATTAATATGGGTATCAAATGAAAGTGTTCAACCAATAGAATACAATGTACCATATAAATTAAAATCCAAGATGGCGGCCTCTACAAAATGGCGGATAACTTAGGTTTTATCAATAGGTGTGTCTGGTTACTTTTCCTGCAGGAATTGTCCAGCAACATCTTTCTGAGAGAGAAAGGTAGTTTTATTCTCTTTTGCAAGGAAATTGCGAAAAGTAAACAGACGGTATTCCTACAGAAGCTTGCAACTAATCAGCTGATTTGTCAAAACAAACCAATTTGTCCCTCATTAAAAGAATTAAACGAAAGGAACCACCACCAATTTCACAAGTTTTATAAATAAAAAGGAAAAGGAAATTGACAATAAAATAAAAATATGAGCAATAAAAGGAAGATAGATATGATGTGTTCCGCGGAATCTTTTAAACCTGTTGCTAATGGCATTTGTCTAAAAATGCTGGAAATAGTCTTTTATTTTCTTATTACATATTAATATTTACTTTTTTCACATTTTGTAAAGTTGTTCTCCAAAAACAATTAGTCTTGCTAATTCCAAAACAATATTTTCAAATTAAAATCACAAAAAGAAATAATTAAACAATAGAAAACATCTGAATGAATGTCGATGAATGAGAAGAAGAAGAGTTGCAAGAGATTGCAAGAAGAAATTTGTCCAGCAAGAATTTGCAAACTCTCACTGAAAGAACTGTCAAAATTTCTCTCTCCAACCGCTCTCTTTTGCAGAACTTTCGGGTTAACAGACGACTTCCAGTAACAATTTGTAACAATTGTTACAAATTTTAGGGTAACCAGACACACCTAATGCCATCAACATGGTTATCAAATGAAACGTCTCAACAAGTAGAATACAATTTACAATGCAAAATTGAAATCTAAGAAGGCGGCCGCTACAAAATGACAGGTAAGTTAGGTTTTATCGATCCCATCAATAGGGGTATCCAATGAAAGTGCTCAGCCAGTAGAATACAATATACTATATAAAATGAAAATCCAAGATAATAATTTTTTTAAACCTGAAAATAAGTAGCAAATTTGATCGAAATCGGTTAAGATATTGCTACAGGTCCCCTATATATTGTTCATCCGATTTGTTGTGTTTGTTCTCCACAGCCGTAATATGCACTCCGTAACAACGATATTTGGGGAATAAAATCAAATACAGCTTAGAAACAGCTCTCACATATATTTTTATCTGATTTCAAGATAATTGTGCACCAAATGGGTAATACAAGCTCGAATTCAAAAGACACAAATGCCTCGGCAAATTTAGTAGAAATCGATTCAGGGAAGGATATTCCTCTCTCTCATAAATTATTTCCTTTGGACTTTAAATTATAATTATACTAGCTGGCCCGGTCTGCGTTGCCGGCCCGTACTTTTGGTCTTTAATGCATATTTATTTAATAAATCAGAAATCTGATTAATGTATATAAGTTCTAAATAGAAATAAATATACATGGCAAAAATTATAATAGATGTTCACCTACTGTCGGTTTTAGATATTTTGAATAGCCTGATCTTATTTTCAGCCATAGGCTTTAATTTTAGTGTTAAAAACCTATATGATATATAACATCATCATAGCCCCATGTGAAAACTCAGCTCAATTTTTGGCATTGTAAGAGCTTAGCAACATTTTCCATTCAAATGAACTGTAATTTGAAATTCAGAAATCAAAATAGTCAAAGATAATTACTCTTTTACACCCAAATGGGAATTATTTTTTTGTCATTTAAATTGTGCGTTGGAGATTAGCCAAATCCATTGATGAATGTGGTCAAGATCTATGCCGAAAATTGTAAATTTAAATCAAATAAGGGCCTAAAAGTATCCAAGATCCTGGAAATAGCTTAAATCATATGATGGTTATCTTCTTCACTAATTACAAACATTTGGCGAAATTAGTATGAAAAATATGGTTAAAATGTAAAAGATATTTCAAATCGCGTTGTACCCTTATCCGGGAGTTATGGCCCATATCATGACCTGCAAAAGCGATTTAAGGTTAAGGAAGAAATTCTTTTCTTACTAAATGTCCAATTCGCTCTACTATTTTGCACGCTTTATATTCGGAATTTCATTGATTTTGCATTTTGAGTTCTCATTGGACGAATTATTGTCATATGAAAGAAGTACGTCCACGTTTCGAAATGAGCCCCATAACGCTTTGTCGGTCATTTTTGTTTTTTTTTTTTAATGTGTTCGCATCTTTCATGTGAAGCACGATGCAGGTCCTGAAGTTAAAAGCTAGCTGTCAATTTTAGACATCGTATTGTGCACTAATTTATTTTTTATTATTATTCATTCAGAATTCAAAACAGTCAAAAATGTACACTATTGACATAGTAAGTACACTATTGACATACTATTGACATAGTATGTCAAATTGGAAAAAATGTAAGCCAAAAATATTTTTTCATTCACATTTTCACGCAATTTGCCAATATACCATTCCAAAATTGTATGAATTTTTAAAATCCGTAAAGCCGTTCTTGAGTTGAGTTTCTTTTAAATGGTGAAACAAATTTCTTATTTTGTTCACAAAAAACGATTGAATTCAATATGTTAAGCTAAATTGAAAAAAATCGAAATTTAATAAAATTGACAAAAAAGAAACAAAATCTTCAACTTGTTCGCTGAATTTTTACAGCAAATGTTTAAAGGTTCTTACGAAGTTTGTCAATAGAATGTACTATGGCAATTCCAAATTTGCCTGAATCTTTAAAATCAGACCAGCGGTTCTTGAGTTATGAGCCTAGTAACTAACACAGGATTTAATTCTCACAGATTCCCCATAAAAACTTTTATTTGTTATGTGAAGCTATACCAAATATGCAAAGTGGTGTGGGGTATCATAAAGTCGGACCTAAAGCCTTTAGTTATTGGTTATAATTGTTTCACATTCAAAACGCAAATGAACAGAAAAACAATTGTTAGACGATAAAATCATTTGTATTAAGCTTTTGCTATATAAACTCGATACTATGAATTTTCCGACTGCTCTATTAGGCTGGATTTCATTATATTTGGAGGGTCGTACCCAAAAAGTTATTTTTAATGATTCGTTTTCTAAAAATATTGTTGTGTCTTCTAGCGTATCTTGGGTCCTTTACCTTTTGTTCTGTATCTTAATGATCTCCCGGATTACATTCGATTCTCTAAAATACTTATGCATGCTGATGATGTGAAGCTTTAAATGCATATAAATTCCCTTGACGATTCGACTTTCTTACAGTATGATTTACATTCCCTTGTGAAATGGTGCAGTGCCAATGGTATGTCCCTTAATCTTAAGAAATGCAAAAAAATTCCTTGTTTAGATCTCAGCCAATACATTCTAACTACTTTATCGGTTCATACAAATTAGAAAATGTCTATTCCTTTATTGACCTCGGTGTTATCTTAGATCCTAAACTACGTTTTCATTTACATATTGACTCATGTGTTAATAAAGCCAAGTCTTTATTAGGTTTCATAAAACTCTTTTCTAAAGAGTTCAGTGATTTATATGTCATCAAAAGATTGTTTGTAAGCTTAGTTCGCCAAATATTAGAGTACGGATGTATTCTGTGGAGTTCTTTTTATAAATGCTATTCAGATAAAATCCAATCAGTTCAAGTTCGATTCCTGATTTTTGCTCTACGGGGCCTTAACTGGAACCCGTCAGAATTACTTCCGCCTTATGAAAATCATTTACTGTTAATTGATCTCCCAACACTTGAAAGGAGACGGTTTATGCTAAGAGTGTTATTTGTCATCAAATTAACACGCGGATTGATTTCGTAACTGGCGAAGTTACCTATTATTAAAATTATCTCTCGTAAGAACTAATTTCGCAATCAGTGACCCATTGAGATCCTTATGTGTAATCTCCAATAGTCTATGTAATAATATTATTTTAAGTAATTCGTTGAACTCTATTAAAAGATCTATACTCCACATGTGCTTGTATATATTCACTTAACCATTTTTTTATTTTAAAAAGCTCATTTTTGCGGCACCTTATCTACATCTTCCTTTGCGGAACCAGCAGACCCAGCCTTTGAACAGTACTCTTTGTTTAACATATTATTTTCACTGTTATTTGTTTATATTTGTTATAAATGAACGGTGTTGGCTTTGTTTGTTCGGGATACCATAGTATTTTGTTGTTGAAAAATGGTCAGGCTTAATCCCTTTATTGTTGTTTTTATAAAAACAACGTTTGTTTATTGGTGGAGAACAATGGTAATGTTTACCAGGGGGTAATGCAGAGAATACCTAAGTTTCGGAAAGACCCACCAATTTTCATCAGTTCCTTTTATTATTATTTCAAAATAATTAAATTAAAAATATTATATTTTAAAAATAACTTCTATGACAAAAAACATTCTTTTACCCAAGTGACGAGATAGTAAGCTCAAAAGAAGAGGAACCAAAGAATAAAATAAAACTAAAATTCTTTTGGAATATCTTCTAAAACTTACAACCGCACCTATAAACATTTACATCTTTCTCCACTTGTTATGATTTCGTTCTAACTGAACGTAGTAGCATAACTGAGTAAGTTGGTTTTGTCTGTTACAACAAAAACCCCTTCGTCGACCGTGCCTAGTCTATTATTAGAACAGTTTTGGCTTTGTTTGTTCGAGATACCATAGTATTTTGTTATAAATGTTATATGTTGCTTTAATTCCTTTCTCTATAGTGTATTTTTATATATTATTTTACCAGCTGATGTACTAGACTGTAGCTGGCACCACTAACTCACAACTAACCCACCATTCCCGGTCTTTGGTGTGTAGGTGCTCCCTACGTATGGGGTCCCCAAGAAGTCTATGTTCTTGTTCATAGTAAAATTCAATGACGAATCAACAATGCCCGCGTTGTTGTCCGCCAATAGGTAAAAATCACTATA